AGATTCTGGCCACGAAGGGCTTCACGGCACGGCAGATGATGGAAGCGACCCTAGAATACGCCAGCTTCATGGAATTCAAGCAGCGGGCTGAAGGACCCGACGCTCTGTACAACCTCGCCCTCGCAGAGGCGACGCAGGGTCTCGACATGTCCAACCCACCGTACAACCCCAAAACCTTTGTCCTAAACGAAAAGGCAGGCCCTCCTTCGCAGAACATCCTCGACGCCATCACCGCCATCGCAACCCACAAGGCCCGCACCGGTGACGTTGCCGCCGCCCTCCCCATCTATCTCTCCCTCCTGAAGGCCCGCCGCTTCCTTCCCAGCGATCCTCCCGCCGTGGCCCGCACACCCAAGCCCCCCCAGTCCTTCTGGAGCCAGATCGTCTCCTCCGTCTCCCAGCCCGACTACCCTCCACCACCAACCGACGGCACCCAGCCTCCATGGCGCAGCCCCGAAGAGCGTTGCCAGGAGGCTTCGCTGAGCATGTGGATTGGAGAGATTCTGTTCGCCTCGTCGTCGCGCGATGACGGTCTCTCCTGGACGCGCGACAGCGTCGATGTCGCTGAGGAACAGCTGCGCGCTCTGGGCCCCATCTCAGACGACACGAATGCAAAAAAGACGTGCCGCGAGTGTCTCGCTGCAGGCCTTGACAATTGGGGGGCAATGGTCGTCAAGTTGGCCAAGGAGGAAGATCGGCGGCGTGAACAAGCATCCAACCGATCTAGCGTCTTCTCGTTCTGGAGCGGTAGCCAGCCAGTCGAGGGACGCTGGGACGCTGAGGATGCTGTCGTCAAGGAGCGTGTGCGCAGGACTAAGGAGCTACTGGATGATATCAGGAAGGAGGGCTCCGGATTGGAAGCTTTCTTCAAGGCGTAAATTGGCACATTGGAACACGTTCGCGATGAAATGTACTAGGTTAAGGGTCTGTTGTTTCTGGCGCTGCCGAGATTGTAATTATCTTGTACCATAATGCTTCCGCCTTGTAGTGCTCAAACAGACTGTGTCATTCACAGTGAATGAACGGGAGTGCTGAGAAGGCAATTTCTGTCGTCTCGTTACTAGATTCGCCTCTCGAATCAGACCCATGCATCGTCTCCGAGTGGTACATCCTTGTCCTCATCATCACTGGACTCTGAGTCAGGCGCTTCTCCCGTCTGCTCGAACTTCCTCCACCGTCTCAGCTGCTTGACCTGCTGTAGCATAGCCTCATTGTCAACGGTATGTACTGGTGGTTTGTTCTCCTCGGCGACACTATCCCACTCATCCGGCCTAAAGTCGGCCCTGGGGCGCTCGACAACGGTGATGGGAGAGTTGACGAAGCCAGGCGTCATGGAAACATCCTGCAGAAAGCTCAGAGCAGGATCGAGGGCACGAACCGCAATTACCTCGGTGTTTAGTGGCTCTGATGATGAATAGCACGGACATCCAAGCGCCTCGATGGCGAGTGATGGGTTCCCGCTTGGGGGAGCGAGGGGCGTGTCGAGAGGGTCCTCAGAGAGGAGGTAACCCCGGGTTCGCTACGTGAATGGATTAGGGGGTTGAGGCTTGTTTTCGTCATGCAGTGTAACGTACCTGAGCGAGAAACTCTCTGAACGAATCATTCATGAGCATCTCGGTTCCAAAAACGGTCCCGAAGAGTACCATGCCGTTTAGTCGGTCACTCCAAGAGTCCCAGTGAGTTTTGTTGTCGAAAAAGGTCTGAACAACTTCGCAGGATTCCCCGATTGCAATGACATCAATCTTGGCCTTGCGGTTGGGCAACTTCTCGAGGACTTCTGAGAAGATGGTCTCCATGTGCTGAAGCGGAGTCTCACTACCAGCGATAGCATTCAACGACGGAACGTATTGAGTACCTGAGTGCACCAAACTCGGCAGTGGCGTATCTCCGCTTGCCGAGATTGTCAGCGCACGTTTTCCTTCCGGCCACCAGTATCTCTGACCCATGTTGGCCAGGACGATGCCAGGTGAGTTCGAGTCATCAGTAGAGGCGGCATGTTTGGCGATAGTGCGGACGGCGTTGACCATACTACCCCTATCTAGTCCCCCAGGACCATTTGCGATCCGATAAGAGAGAATGCCCAGATCCGTAGTTGGCTCACCGAAGATTACGATGACACGGGGGCTCGATTCGATATCGGGCGTCGTGAAAATGGGAGCATGTTTCTCCGAAGGCGATGCTCCACGAGGGAGCGTCATCTTCGCTAGGCCTTCTTCTTCCAGACGCTCATGAACGATTTTTTCCAATGCTCCTTAGAAGCATTTGGTCAGCTCATAAAGCTCATTTAGCATCTGGTAAAGCAGGAGACTTACTGTTGAAGGCGAAACGTTGACGCTCGTTGACGCGCATATTGTGGTTGGCGAAGTACTTGAAGTAGCAGTCGGGTTTCTCGATGGAGCGAACCTCATCGGCATCGTTGATGAAATACCTGTACAGCAAGGTCAATATAGCGCCCTGTGCCATAATCTTAGGGAAACGACGAACCCGAGGCCCTTGAGACTCGAGGGAAATGAGGCATCCTTGGGGAGACTGGACCAGCGGCGTCGGAACATGGTGATCAGGGACGATGATTGAAGACGGAGGAGGGCAGTAGACTGATTGTGCGGCGGTACGGTTCGGTGGAAGGGTTGAAAGAAAGAAAGACGGGAGAAAGAGAGAGAGAGCAAGAGAGAAGAATGGAAACGAGGCGACAGCTTGATGCGGGAGCCAACGGGAAGCAACAGAGAATACCTAGGGCAGTAGCCACGCAGCTGCTGGTTCCCTAATTAATCCTTAGGACCAGTTTCCTCTTGACGCCTTCGTGATTGGGTAACAGCCAACCGCTTTACTGAACTGATTGCTCCAATCGCACAAGGTACTTCTGGGTAATGCAAACCAGCATGCCTCATTTCGGGTATGTTTGCTCAGGCTATCGCTGAACATCGCAAAACGAAACGCGAGTATGTAGACCAGGGTGTTGATATTATTTATTCTCCAAGTAACTCATTGAAATTCATTAAAAGAGCTGAGATGAGAGTTAAACGCCAATCCCAAACTGCCATGAAGTCATTGCAAATATTCAACGCCAATCCTCTATAAGCAGTCCACGAGACCCAAAATGAAGAATCCAAACACCGTGCTAAACACCTATACTAAACATGGTCATCCTGAAACATTGGAAATCGCTTATTGGTTCGAACTTGGCGTGTACCTGCTTCGGAACGCCTGACTGATGCTGAATCGACTCCCCGCTCCACGGTTTAGCTGACTTGCAAGAGCCTCCTCCAAGGCTGATTGTGTGACCGATGCGTCTTATCCGCGTTAGTAAGACATAGGGGGACAATTGAGTACAGTATTGGACATACCTTCGAGATCGCTGAAGCTACTCCCCATACTGGGCGTCCCATCACTTCCCTCACGAGAGTAGCCCCTGCTCTTGCTGCCTGGGCTCTGGGCCACGAGCTCAGCCTTGCGTGGGGACAACGGCCCTGGTTGACGCTGTCCACGAGATTTCCCCGGTCGCTGAACCATTGCCGCAGAGCCGGCCGAGGAATCAGACGTCTGAGATTGATGAGCAGCTGCCTTGCCCATGCTTCGTGGGAACCGCTTCGAGGAACGACCGTCTTCCCGAAGAGTCGACCCCAAGTCCGAGGCCTGGTTCTTGTCGGGAGATTTGTATGGTTGAAATGCGGGTTCAGATTCATCGTCTTCATCGTCATCGTATGCTGGCCCTGCTTCATGCTGCTGGAAGCGAGGGGGCCGCCGGATAATGCGAGACTGCGCCGGACTAGATTCGTCGTCCGAGGTCGTGACGGAGCTCTCGTCCGTGGGACCTGGAGAAGGACTCTGTTCCGGGGCCGGCGAGTGCACTCGTTGAGCTTCCCTCTCAGGAGACTTGTTAGTATTTGACTTTGTTAACAACGACGAAATCCGACGGCGTTGCTCTCCAGCTCCAGAGCGGCCTGCCAACGCGAGAGCCGGGCGGGACGATGCTGATCCGCCTGTCATATCCCGCAACACTGTAGTATTTGTCGAAGGATTTCTTGAGATGACTGGTCTCGTCGATAAATGTAGGGGTGTTCCAGTGCCGCTTCCAATCTCGTTTCGCGGCATGGGCGAGTCTCTGCGTACAGACAAGGACGAGGGGGCTCGTTGGTAGCCTAGTCCAGCCGAGTCACTTGGGATTGGCGAGGGTGCGGCAGAACCTCTGGCGGCGGCCGTGGCTTTGCGAACTTGAGCACGAACTTGTGAGGCATGTCGTTCGGTTAGGTAGGCAACTTGTTGAAGAAGGAAATCGACAGGGACGTCGAATCGATCAGCACTGTTCTAGGTTTAGCATCATCTGTGAGAAGCACAACCGTCGGGACAATTACACTTCGTTCCCTGTAATAAAGTGAGCAATAGTTTAAATGCTAAGGAAAGGACCGTACGCACAGTTAATTTCTGTTTTGGCAGCTCCAGATAGAATTTTCCACAATGATTCGTCTTTGTTCGAGTCCCAGTTGACCTGGCGCGATCAATGGTTAGCACAACCACCATCGTCTCAGGCTGGCGCATGACGACGGGGACTGGACAAGCTTACCTGCGCTGGATCAACAAAGTCACCACGGGGCATCGGCACCCGAATAAACACGGTGTACGTGGGATCGGCCATTTTTGGAAGGATTCCACTCGCGCGATGTGTGAGATGGAAAAGGAGGAAGACGAAGGATAAGAAAGGAGAGGGAGAGAATGAAGATGGACGGGTGACGAAGGTTGAAGTGCTTCCAGTCCGGAAGGGTACCTGTGACGAGCTACCGGGGGTTGTTAATCGATAAGCACCCGGCTCCACCCTGTTACAGCACTGGCCAACGTCAAGGCTCCAGCCCCACCCGGTTCGTGGTATAAGAAGCAGGAGCCATCCCCAAGCAAACCAGGACAAACTGCGTCAATCAGTTGCCAACCGCTGCTTCCTCTGATCATTCCTCTTGGACAGAAATAATGAGCACCCTTTCCAACAAATGAGGCATCGCCCAAACAAGTCCGGTATGGTGTAAGGGTTAGCATAGGGCACTCTCAATCATCAAGAGACGATGCCTTGATCAGGGTTCGAATCCCTGTACCGGAGTCCTCACCATGAGGTCTTCCTTTTTTGCTCCGAATAGCCCTTTTTCGATTCAGATTTTTACCTTGTGACTGAACTCCTTGTTGTCGTTTTTCGCGCGACTAGAAGCGCTACATGTGTGCGTTTCCGGCATTTTCAAGGCGACGCGGGATCAACCACTACCTGGTGACTATCGTAAGCCTTATGTGAAATCGATCTGTGGATAATATCATGCATGCCCGATACATTCTACGGCTCTGTTTAATACTTGGTCATATTTATTATCTATGAATTGCTAGCGGCTTATATGTGAGTCGTGTCCCAATCGCCACCGACCGATCTATCCAGGGCGACGTGTTTCAAACTCGCCTAGGAAACTATCTATCATCGCCCATGCCATAGAGTTGGAATTTCTCGAGTCATGTCTCCTCCAGAGACGACGATGAGCATTTCGCATGGCATTTTGGTATAGAAATCTCACACGTACCGTAATGCGTCTTCGTGCCATTCACCAGTTCCAACCACGTCACACCGGGCAAAGCATAGGGACGCTCTCAAAGCGGTGAAGGACGACAGAAGTGCGGTGGCGCCTTGGTTAATCACGAGAGACTAGGGATAGTCGGGAGATACATGATGCTTGACGAGAATAATACGCGCAGTCATTGGTTACCATGTTGTTTGACTCGTGTGTCAACCGTTGGTGGGGGGCAAAGAGAAGTTTATGCAGTGAACCCTGTAGATCCATCCATGTTGAAGCTAGACTTGGATGTGCGGCTGGAGCGGCAATGATACCTTTTCCATCAATGTGCCGTGACTACGGAGTAGCTGCGAGGGGAATTTTTCTGGAATATCTCGGTTCCTGGACACGATGGTGATCACACATGAAGGTCCGGTGGAGTTGGACCAAGTCGGGATTCGGAGAGTTGGGCCGTCTGGGGACGAAAGCCCCGCGACCCCGCTATGACTTTGTTTCTGGAATGCGGTTGTCCTGAGTTCAATGACTTCGACATACGGTAGGTATGTGTGAGAACACCCATCTAACTAATGTAGGAACTGTACAGTGATGTTCAACCGCTTTGCTGGTTCTGAACAATGAAAAGAATCTAGTTAACTTGGCTTTGGCGCCAGAATGCCACGGTTGTCTCATTGCTTCTCCCCTCTCAGTCGTTTATCAGTCAGCCGCCCTGAATTTTCGGCTGACTCCCGCTATCTCTGAATTTTTTAAAAAAAAAAAATTTTGCCTTCTTCAAAATGCCTTGATCTATAGTGATGTTGATATCCTCGGTTGTTTTCGTGTATGAATTCAGCTTATATCACATCCGATAACTTCTAAATAGCTTCATTCTCTACTTTGAAAGTTGGCGAACAAGGTACGTCCGCAAATGAAGTAAATAATCAAACCTCCACAAAGGGCAGCCGCCTGGCCTGGTCGACAAATCAACCCCACCTTCGCCTTTCCGCTCGCGTCACCTTCTTCTCTCTTTCCTCTTTCCCTCATCACCCAACCTCTCACTGTCACGGGCCGTTGCTGTGGATAATTCTTGTCTCGGGCCTTCCTCCACCGGCCGTCTGGGTATATAGACCTGCAACCCCTTCCCCTCGCATTGGATTCTTTCTCCTCCTCAACTTAGACCGAGCAACCCCGCGCCATCACCCTCTTAAACCCCCGCCGTCATGGTCGCTTCAGAACTCACGGCCTCGGCCATGGCCATGCGCTCCGGCGCTGCGCCCACGACATCCGAAGATGCTGCTGCTTCTGCCTCCGCCTCCGTGTCCGAGCCCATCCGAAACCGCGCCGGTGCCAGCAGAAGTCCCTACGTCAAAGGCCAAGCAGATGGCTTAGTCAAATGGCAGCTGCTCGACGACGATGCTGTGGAGCGAGCCAGGAAGGAGAACAAGCTCATCTTCTTACATATCGGGTACAAGGCATGCCACTGTAAGTCCCGCTCGCTGTTCCACGATATCTATCCATGTGCCCCCCCTAACGTCATGTCGCAGACTGCCATTTGATGTTTCTGGAATCCTTCTCCAATACAGATTGCGCCGCCGTCCTCAACGAGTCGTTCGTACCCATCATCATCGACCGAGAAGAGCGCCCTGACATTGATACCATCTACATGAACTACGTTCAAGCCGTCAACAACGAGGGGGGTTGGCCGTTGAACCTGTTTCTTACTCCCAACCTCGAGCCTGTCTTTGGAGGGACTTACTGGCCCGGCCCAGGGAACCGGCGCCGCGCGACAGACGATAGTGTCGACGAAGTGGTAGATTTTCTTACCATTCTTAGAAAAGTACGAGATATTTGGAGTGACCAAGAAGCACGGTGCCGAAAGGAGGCGACCGAGGTCCTGGGCCAACTCAGAGAATTTGCAGCTGATGGCACCTTCGGCACCAGTCGCATCTCGGCGACTTCAACTCTTACATCTTCTGGGTGGGGTGCGCCAGCACCAACTCACAGTGATGGCAGTAGAGACAAAGACACTGCTGTATCAAGCGAGTTGGATTTGGATCAACTTGAGGAGGCTTACACCCATATCGCCGGCACATTCGACCCTGTGTTTGGAGGCTTTGGGTTGGCACCCAAGTTCCTGACCCCTCCCAAGTTGGCCTTCCTCCTTGGACTCGCCAAATCTCCTCGCGCGGTCCAAGACGTTGTCGGCGAGAAAGAGTGCAAGCATGCGACTGACATCTCATTGGACACCTTGCGCAAGATTCGGGACGGTGCTCTGCGTGATCATGTCGGTGGTGCTGGCTTCTCGCGCTGCTCGGTGACTCCCGACTGGACTATTCCTAACTTTGAGAAACTTATCGTGGACAACGCGCAGCTCTTATCTTTATATCTCGAGGCCTGGAGAACGAGTGGCGGAAAGGAGGACAGCGAGTTTTACGACATCGTGCTGGAGCTTGCAGAGTACCTGTCTTCCGCCCCCATCGCTTTCCCAGATGGAGGCTTTGCCTCGAGCGAAGCCGCTGATTCATGTGTCAAAAGGGGGGACAGTGAAATGCGCGAAGGTGCATACTACACCTGGACCAGACGCGAGTTCGATTCTGTGCTCAACAAGGTGGACCGCCACGTCAGTCAGGTTATAGCAACTCATTGGGGCGTGGAAGAAGACGGTAACGTAGACGAAGGCCACGATCCCAATGACGACTTCATCAACCAGAATATCCTGAGAATCGATAAAAATGTCGAACAGCTCAGTCGACAGTTCAACCTTCCCGCGGAGAGGGTTCAGCAATACATAGAGACAGCAAAGTCGGCGCTCAAGGAGCGGAGAGACAGGGAACGTGTCAGGCCAGAGTTGGATGCGAAGCTCATTGCAGGCTGGAATGGCCTGGTCATCTCAGCATTGGCTCAAACTGGCTCAGCTCTCAAGAGCATAAGCAAGGACCGGAGTGGCAAGTACCTGGCTGAGGCCAAGAAGGCCGCCGCTTTCATTCGCGAGAAGCTGTGGGATGCACAAGAGAAGGAGTTGTACAGAGTATGGCAGGGCGAGAGAGAGATTAAAGCCTTTGCTGATGACTACGCCTATCTCACCCGAGGCATCCTGGACCTTTTTGAGGCCACCGGTGATGAATCTTACCTCGAGTTTGCCGACACTCTACAACGTGAGTAATGATTCCCTGATCCATCTGCGAGGCTCCTCGCTAACACCAACCCTTTCTAGAAACACAAATTCACCTCTTCGCCGACCCTGCTGGCGCCTTCTTCTCTACCACCGCCTCCTCTCCTCACACCATTATCCGCCTCAAAGACGGCATGGATACGTCCATCCCCTCTACCAACGCCATTACTGTCCTTAATCTATTCCGCCTTGCCTCTCTCCTCTCCGACGACGCCCTCGCCGCTCTTGCCCGTAAAAGCATCAACGCTTTCGAGGTCGAGATGCTCCAGCATCCTTGGCTGTTCCCTGGTCTCCTTGCTGGTGTGGTTGTGGCACGTCTTGGTGTCGAGAAGAGTCATTACAATGTTACATATAAACCTGCAAGGCTTCTTGCCTAAGATACCTTTATAGTTGGGAGAGCTTGGTGCGGTCTTCTGTCTATTCTTTGGACACTTTTTAGGGTTATACTTATTGAGGAGTTACCGCTTCGGAGCCGTTATTATAGGCCCTTTGGTGAGACGGACTGATCCGACGTGGAGTATTGTGTTGGTGAAAAGGTTCTTTCGGAGTTATATTCCTTAGATGATGATACGCATGCTCGACCCCTTTCCAAGCAATTTTCCGTACGCCCAATTCTTCGGCCCATAACTTCTCAACGTACGTTCCAAACAGATTTTTATGTCTTTACTCAAATATGGTTGTGTCACTCAGGGGTATCTATTCTACAGCAGCGACTCCCCGATCCACTCTCATCAGCCATCACACCTCATCCCCCCATCACGAATTTCTTTCATACAAGGCGTCAAACAGAGTCCCAGAGATGTCTCTCCTTGGAAGGCAGGATATTTGTTCTTCGGTGCCACTCCCTTTTGTCGTCTCCGCTTCTCCTCGATAGGGTGGTGACGTTCTAGGACCGCGATGAGTCCGCACCACCCTTCCTGACCAAAAGACCGCTGAAGAAGCTCTGCAGCTGATCGTTGTCGAGCTCCTGGCCCATGGTTCCTGTAGAGTTATTATCAGTTGATTCGACTTCTTCCTCCGATGGTGCAGAGTACGCGTTGCGGTCCTGAGCTCAAAGTCAGCATTGCCATTCGTTAAGTTGATAAAGAACAAGGTTACCTTGAGTCGCTTTAGCATATCGTCAGCATCGACTTGGATGCCACCCATGTTAAACTGCACAGGACCGATGTGCTCGCTAACACTCTTCTCCTCGCCGAATTCCAGGTGCTTGATGGGGCGGATGGCACTCTCGGGCGCCTTATCGGGGACCTTGGCCTTGAAGGCTTCAAGGATCTTGAGTTGACGTTCGAGAAAGGCTTGGGTATCATCGCTATCGATCGTGATCCATTTGTCGCCATGCATGGCCTTCTCCACCACTGCCAAACCACCACTATTTGGATCTCGGCACCACTCTTCATA